TTTAGTTTCTGGCATCAGAAAACGCTCTCTCAGCCGCGCTAGTTGCTGGTATACAAAAAATCTTACAACTAGTCTTAAATAAAAGGGGGAATATTTTTTTATGGTCTGTCCACCAACTAAGGCAATCAAAACTATCTGAAAAAATTACACTTGTGTTACAATAACGGTTTATTTTCTTGTCTATTTGATCTATTTTGGTTGTGGCTTTTTGGACTTCGATGAAATCAATAAATGCATCATCATGACAATTTTGGGCATTGCCATCATTTTCGTTGGAAGCCTCATCTAATGAAAAACCCACTACAATTTCTTTGCAGTCATCTATAATGGTTTTGTTCTTATTTTCTGAAAATTGGAGCAATTTATTTGTTGGTGAAAACAAAAACAGGGCCATCTTATAAAATTTTGTAATATTTTGCGAAATGGTTTCTGAAATGTGGTTTAGCACAACTAATTTGACTTTGGGTACATAGGGTATTGTCAAATGAATTGTTGGATATTTATTACCTTCCAATTTTGTCAATATCTCGGCACATGTTTCTAGAAGACACGTTATTGATCGAAGCTAATTTAAGTGAATTAGTTCTATTGTAATTGTTTCATTTTTTTTCTTTTAAAATCTTTGTGATATCAATCCAATTTTGATCTATCGACTTTAATAAATAAAATACAGTGTTCCAACACGTTGGGCTAAAGCTTTTTAAGGAAAGATTTAAATCTGAGTTGGAGCCGGATTTTTTAAAGTATTTCACCAATTTGCTGCACTCAACTACTATTTGTGATAGCTTTGGTACTGTCTTAACAGATTTTTCTACTACGTTATGTATTAAATGGTTGATGCAGTGAATTTGATCGTATGTTCCAGTAGACGATTGCCTTTGATCGATTGAATTTGATCGCCACTAGACGATTAATCAATATGCCATCCTTTACATAATGCATGGTTCAAGACAAGTATGATAGTCTTAAATGATTGTCTGTCCAAATATCGCTTGTAAGTGCATATCCAAAACATTTATATTTTTGAATGTCTGCTTTGACTAGCCCGAAGTGAGTTTCGTACAGAGACGCCACATTCCTTGATATTTTCGTTGGATTCGACAACAGTTGGTCAACGCCCACGTTAGAGCCGTAGGTACTGCCCACCTTAATCAGAAACTTACTGAATTCTTTCAGGCCTGAATCGCTGATCAACTTAAATGGACGACAATTTTGTAATATCCATTCAGTAGCAATAGTGGTTGCCTCCTTTTTTTTTATCACAATTAACATAAATCAGTGACAGGTTGTTGTTTTTACTGCAGCTCAGTAACTAAATTAGATGTGCTGACCGTATATTTATAAATGTTATAACATAACTTTCATGCCACAAAATCATTTACTTTCTTTCCATTTATGTCTATAACGCTGCCAAAAATGTCCCACATCTTACCTCGATCTCTTTTTCCATTTATGGAATATTCCCCGCTTAAAAGTTTCTCCTTTAATATATTAGGCATTTTATCAAATGTTTTAGTTTACACTTATTATGGTTTTGCGTTAAACGTTCACATCGGACAACAAACCTTTATTCACACATTCACAATTCAACTTTAAGTAACAAACAATTCATTAATATGTAAACTAAACAATCACATTGCACGCACAATAAATAATTGTTAGTACACGAACACATAAATTACTTACATTATTTCCGTCAAAATCTCTCATCTTGGCGAACGCTTGCAGAAAAGTAAAACGCAGTGCGCAATAAGCGGCGCACAAATTGTATTCTGAGTATTCAGTCAATTCTATGCTTCATTCATTCATTTATTCCGCTTTGCACACACATTCATTCAATGCCATTTCATATGAATACTCTAAATTGCGCTCAAATGAGAATACGATGCGAACTCGATCGAATGCGTTGTGCTCAAATTAGAGTACACAACTCAAGAGTACTGAGAGAGTACTTAAATTTGAGTGCAGCCGTGCCGCTCTCTAATACGTAGCAGCAAAAAACAAAGAGCAGAGTCACTGAGCGAAAAAGGCGTAGTTTTTTATTTCATTCATTCAGAAAATGGGAGTTTTTTTTGTGCTATTTATTAGAATTAAAGTAAAGTCAATGAGAAAATTGAGGGGATTCAAAGGCGTATAAGTGTGAAAACTTTACTCCGAAATTTTTTCGAAAAAAAATTGTGAAACTTGGTTGAATTCACCGTGAAATTTTGTTGTCAAAATTAGCGTCGTAAAAGTAAAATAATAACCGGATAATTAGGCCCGCCTAATACTTTTTTAATAAAAAAATATCGGTATTTTGATACCTTTCCGGCACTTCTAGTTCCTATCTTAGCACACATGTTTAAAATACAATTTTCGTTTAAAGAAATCTTGGGCCTGAAATATATGTATAATCAAAGAACATGCACGAGAACCGTGTCCATGAACCAGAATAGTAGACGACTGCGGTGGAGCATTTGCTATGGGGTGCATTGGAGGAGGGGTTTTCAAGCCATTAAAGGATAAAGAATTGGTATGTTAATATAAGAAATAAATGTATATTCAATGTCCTTATCAATGTCATTATCAAAAAAATTTTCCCCTACTCAGATTAGACAGAAATGAAATACGTAAAGGTCCTCGCGGAATAAACCAACTACGCACGCCAACCGTATATTTGTGTGCCTGATTCTCCATAGGGGTACAATACCAATGTACGTCAAATTAGCGTCGCTCAGTTAGCGTCGAAGTGGAACGGTGGAATTGGAACACAGCAACGAATATTTTGTTTTTCAATTATTTCCGTATTTAGCCACTTAGCCACTTAGCCAATTTAATCAAATAAACACTAGAATTGTTAAGAATTGAATAAACTATTGTTTTTTCTTACTTTGAGCGGGCTCTTTACTCTTTAAGTAGCTTAAAAATGGGGTTGAAAAATTGCCCCTACACTGTATTGAGCATTATCTCAGAAATAAGAGGATGCGCCAATAAGCGCGATACACCAGCTTATAGCCCATTCTTTTGAGAATATGCGCTGAAAATTTCATTAAAATCGTTCCCTACGTTTTGGAGCAAATCGACTAAAAGTGGACCAACCCGGCTAACAGCCCATACAAAAATGACCCCAAAAAATTGTTTTTAAAATTGTGAAGCTCAAGAGGATGCGCCAATATGCACGGTAGTGGAGTCGATGTAGGACCTTTTCAAGTATATATGGACCAAAAATCATACAAATCGTTCCCACAGATTTTGAGAAAATCGAATTACAGTTTCCCATATAATTTGAACTAATAAGAGGAGCGCCAACCAGTGAACCGGACCCAGTCCGCAAAAAGTTCATTGAACTAGTTTAAAAATACTATATGGCTCTGTTAGACTTATTAAGTCCTTCACAGAGGATGCGCCATTATGCAAGGTATACCACGAGAAAGCTAATTTTTAGCCCGTTCGAATGGTACCAGTGCCATTAAAATCCTTCCCACAGATTTTTAGAAATCAAGTCCCGAAATTTTCGGGACCTAGTTTGCCAATACTGGCCATTATCATTTTTCCGTGTTTGCACGCTGCACAACACTATTTTTTTGCATTAAAAAAATAGCTCATGTACGTACATACATACATACATATGTATGTATACATATGTATGCTGCAATAAAGGTATGTATGTATGTACGTACATGAGCTATTTTTTTAATGGCGCCATGTACGTACATACATACATACCTTTATGGCAGCATACATATGTATGTATGTACGTACATGAGCTATTTTTTTAATGGCGCCATAAGTGTTGGGCAGCGTGTAAACACGGGAAAATAATAATGGCCAGTATTGGCGAACTAGGTCCCGAAAATTCCGGGACTTGATTTCTAAAAATCTGTGGGAAGGATTTTAATGGCACTGGTACCATTCGAACGGGCTAAAAATTAGCTTTCTCGTGGTATACCGTGCATAATGGCGCATCCTCTGTGAAGGACTTAATAAGTCTAACAGAGCCATATAGTATTTTTAAACTAGTTCAATGAACTCTTTGCGGACTGGGTCCGGTTCACTGGTTGGCGCTCCTCTTATTAGTTCAAATTATATGGGAAACTGTAATTCGATTTTCTCAAAATCTGTGGGAACGATTTGTATGATTTTTGGTCCATATATACTTGAAAAGGTCCTACATCGACTCCACTACCGTGCATATTGGCGCATCCTCTTGGAGCTTCACAATTTTAAAAACAATTTTTTGGGGTCATTTTTGTATGGGCTGTTAGCCGGGTTGGTCCACTTTTAGTCGATTTGCTCCAAAACGTAGGGAACGATTTTAATGAAATTTTCAGCGCATATTCTCAAAAGAATGGGCTATAAGCTGGTGTATCGCGCTTATTGGCGCATCCTCTTATTTCTGAGATAATGCTCAATACAGTGTAGGGGCAATTTTTCAACCCCATTTTTAAGCTACTTAAAGAGTGAAGAGCCCGCTCAAAGTAAGAAAAAACAATAGTTTATTCAATTCTTAACAATTCTAGTGTTTATTTGATTAAATTTAGTGGCTAAATACGGAAATAATTGAAAAACAAAATATTCGTTGCTGTGTTCCAATTCCACCGTTCCACTTCGACGCTAACTGAGCGACGCTATTTTGACTTACATACAATACCAAACGATAAGAAAATACTAAGCTAAGCTATCGGTATCGCTTTCGACCCGCGACACTTTGAATGTATGGGCTCGATTTTAAATTAATTTATTTACGTTTTAAAAAAGGTTTTATTTTTTTGCATTGAAGAGAAAATGTGTCAATGAGAGTTGCCTCTATTAACGGAGAAAACTCGGATTGAATAGAGGGGATTCGAAGAAGTATAAGGTGAAAACTTTACTTGCAGAAATTTTGCCGAAAAAAAGATTCGAAACTTGTTTGAGTTCCCGGTAACATTTTTTTCTCAAAATTTACGTCGTAATGGTAAAAAGCGGATCATTAGACCCATCTAATTATAATATTTTTTACTGAAAAAACTATCGATATTTTGATACATTTCCGGCACCCCTAGTTGCTATCTTAGCACACATGTTGAAAATACAATTTTCGTTTAAAGAAATTTAGGGCCTGAAATATAAGTATAATGGAAGAATATGCTCGTGAACCATGTCCTTACAGAATAGTAGACGACTGCGGTGGAGCATTTGCTATGGGGTGCATTGGAGGAGGGGTTTTTCAAGCCATTAAAGGATTTCGGAATGCACCCTCAGGAATAACCCGAAGATTGGTATGTTTATATAAGAAATAAATGTTTATTCAATTTCATTATCAAAAACATTTTCTCATACTCAAAGTAGACAGAAATTAAATATTTAAAGGAGCTCGCAAAAGAAACCAAATTTGTATGTGTTCGTAGGTAGGCCCGTATTCAGAAATTCGTTTCGTGCTTGGAACAAGGGAGGACATAAATCACTCAAAAATAAAGTTTAATATTTTATTAGTATCAGCTGTACAATTAACAGCTATTATAATGTTTTAAAGAAGTTAGCCTTTGTATTTAAGAAAAAATACCGGCTAATAGCAAATTTAATATTAGAATTAATTTTTCATTAATTAATTAAACGGTCGAGGACTTCCTCCGGATCAACAATTGTATACCACCAGTAAATTTTCATTTTATACATTTTTTTTATTCTCTTAATTGTTTAAAACCAGCGTTTGCATTTGCTGCTACATAGCAGCAATTTAAGTAAAAATATTGCTCTGCTCCCGCTATTGCTCTGTTTTCGATAGGCTCTGTAGCACAGCAGAGAGCACAAAATCAAAACGGCTGCTCTCTACGCTGCTCTGTAGCACTGAACGTCATGGCACGGAGCAATAGCAACAGCGAGAAAAGGCGCGACACGCTATTTGTAGTTGTAGCAGAGCCAACGAAAAGAATATTGTGCTCTCGTAGCAACTGCATAGTCGCTCTCTTGCTACGAGAGCACAATATTCTTTTCGTTGGCTTTGCTCTCATCTCGCTGTCGATGCTTGTGCTATTGCTTCAACTACAAATAGCGTGTCGCGCATTTTTTCGCTATTGCTATTGCTCCGTGCTCCGACGTTCAGTGCTACAGAGCAGCGTAGCGAGCAGCCGTTTTGATTTTGTGCTCTCTGCTGTGCTACAGAGCCTATCGAAAACAGAGCAATAGCGGGAGAAAAAAAAAATACTCAGATGTAGCATAGCATTTTCAATCACTGTCTAAAACGATATTTCGATTCTAGCCGTTTTGCTTGAAGGAGTAGCCACACTTTCAAAAGTTTTTCATACTCAAAACTTTTTAATGAAAAATCTCCAATTTAAAAATTGCCCAATGTTTACAAAACTGCAGCAATTTTCATTTCATGTGATTTTCCTTTTGCTTCTAAAAAAAACGAAGTGGCAGTTGAAGCAAAAGCAGAAAACGATCGCCGACGAAAAGCGAATCAGCAGCAGCAGACGCTTCTTAAAATACATTTTCCCTATGAAAAATTATTTCTGGTTTATTATCTTGTTGTCTTATTAGACTTTAAACTCAAATTTACCGACCACAATGGTTAATAAGGCGTTCTAAATAAAGGTGTAATAAAGGTGTTCTTGGTTTTATTAAGGGGTTATATACAGTTGTACCGTGCAAAAATATGGATTTTTATCGATTTTTTTTTGACACCATAAAAAATATTTATGAAAAATGTTTTACCGACGTTGTTTAGTACATGTTTCTGGGTACTTAATTAAATTTTTTCATAAAAAAAATATTACATAACCAAAATGTTATAGCCGAATTCCCGGATCGTCTTTTTTCGATGGTGTCTTGCGGTGGACATGATTTCTCGAAAACGGTTCATCCGAAATCCAAAATTCAAAAAAGTTTAGTTAGTATATTGTATTGTCTAGTCCGTGAACGAGGGATTTTTAAAAATTTTGATTTAAAAAAAAATGACGTTTTTAACAAAAAATATACTTTTTCAAGGTATAAGATTTTCGTTTTTTGTGCTTTAAAAAAGGAGTTTTCAAAAAAATTGAAAATCCCTCGTTCACGGACTAGCTAATATCATAATAAGTAAGTGGTCAAAATTTGGTGTTGATCGGATTAGTAGTTTTTTTAGTAATCGTGTCCACCGCAAAGGTAATTTCCCAAAAAAAAGATTCTGAGATAATCGCGTTTAAAGTTTCAAGTTTGTTCAAGTTTTATATGCAGGTAGTGCGCTATAAATAGCTACAGCTTCGGTTCTAATGCTCCGATCGTTACCAATTTTTGTCAGAGTACTCCCAATAGAATATACTTAAAGACTTAATCGATTTTTTCATATATCACAACTGTATATAACCCCTTAAAGGGGGACATCTGAGTATTATTTTTAAAAAATCGAAAATTTTTTTTTCCTTAAAAAAATTTTTTAGTGTCTTAAAAATAACATACTAAGATAGAGTCCGGCAAAAGTGGTTAAGTGTCGAAATAATTAAAACTACTTAAAAACTGAATTATACTTAAAACTTAAACCACAGTTTAAAACTTTAAACGCGTTTTTCTCGCAACCGCTTTTTTTGAAACTGCCGGAAACATAATTCGAACAAATCTTAACCAATCGATTTTGAATTTTGACAGTATATTTAAAATACCATTATCTATCGACACACGTAGGATTTTTTCTTATATTGCTTACTTTTTTTTTTATTAACAATTTTGTGACTTTTTTTTTTGCGAAAATTGTACCTTTTTTTTAATCACCCACCATTTTGCAAAAAATTAATATATCGCAAAAATCCTACGCAATACGTGTGTCGATAGCTGTTGATGTATAGAAACTAACGAAACTTGATTTTTTGTTCTACATCAGAAATCAAGGACGTTAGCTGTCCGGCCATGGACCTCCTTCAAAAAAAAGGGCAAAAGAATTTAACGACCCCTTTATTACTAAAAGTTTTTTTTATTTCTTTGGTTCACTGGAGTACGGTTCAAGTGTCTGTAGTCCCAATATGGAGTATATCAACACCGCATAAAATCCGTACAAAAAAATGTCTTAACATTTGCACTTAGAGGTCTAAAGTGGGATAAAAATCGTAGTCTTCCGTCTTATAGTAGCAGAGTCTTTCTAATAAACTTACCTAGCTTAACAAATCGTAGTTCAATGCGGGGTGTAGTTTTTCTACATTACCTCATTAATGGTGATGTAGTAGCCAGCATTTACTAACACTCTTAAATTTTAATATTCATAATAGAAGGACTGGAAACTTTAGTCTTCTATTCCTTAGCCATTGTTAATAGCGCTGCTCTGTCGTGTGGGCCTTTTAGCATGGTGATGAATGCAGGAATGCTAGCTAGTGCACTAATAGGTGCAATTCTGAAAGAGCTCGAAAAAAAAAATTAGGAGAGGACTTTTTGCAAACTCCCCGAAGGACCGTTTTAGCTGTCCTTCGAGGGTTTTCGCTTTTTTTCGGCAGCTCAGTTTTAAGGCTCTATTTATGTGGCTTCGCTCATTAGACATCGTGTCATATGCTAAAGCACACGTCTCGCCCAACTTATCAAGCAATTCGCCTAAACTTTTTGCGACCGAAGACCGCTTGTGACTTCGAAGTATTTGGCTGGCGTTTTTCCACCCCTGAAGGTGGCATCATGGTGGCCACTATGGTGGCAATTTAAGATGCCTTGCTCCCAGCCACCCCTCTTTTGAGATAGGGCCCCAATGTACGCGGCCTTAATTTTTTTTTTTAGATCTAGATCTTTTTTTTTGGTTTGTTAAAAATTTGTTAACCCGGGCGTAGATCGGTCGCATCAGGGGGTCGACAGGTACCCTGAGACCTCCATTTTAAACAGGGCAGAGCTTATATCAGCTTCAACTTAATGCTACACAGGCTGAGATGATGTTTTGGGTATAGGAAGTGGGTGAGGCTACTTTCCGCTACGACGTATATCTTTAGTAGTTTTGAAAAACTTACTCATGTGACAAAAGTTCTAAAAATTTTAATTTAAAAAATATTTTTGAAATAATTTTTTAAGTTTTATTTTACTTTCTGCCCTGACCAGAAAATTAATATTTTTATACATTTTAGGTCGGAAGTATGACGGCTATCAAAACACGCTCTCCAGTTATTGCCGGAAACTTTGCTGTATGGGGTGGAATGTTCAGTACTATAGACTGCACACTCGTGCATTTACGAAAAAAAGAAGATCCATGGAACTCGATAATAAGCGGGGCTGCCACTGGAGGAATATTAGCTGCTAGAAACGGTATGGTTCTGTAATAACCTAGACGATGTAATCGTCTAGTTCTAATCGTATAGTCATCATTAAATAATAATAACTGAACCTTTTTGGAAGTCGACTATTTGAATTATACATTTTACCCACGAATTGTCGAGGCGGCGCCAAGAGGTTTAGACATGAGATGCATTTAGCAACTTTTTATAGTTTTTATGCTAAATTTTGAACAGGTAGACCGAATCCTTTTCAACCCCATAAGAAATATATGTTATTGGTCCGTTTGTCCGATCCCTCATCCAATAAATGAATATGAAGTCTTTCTGTAAAACTAACATAAATAAAAATAAAGTCTTTTTGTAAAAATTGTTTGGAAATTATATCGAAGGCTTTAAATTTTTGGGAGTTCAGTTTTCGTACAGAGCCCGGAATTTTTAGCAGCGATTTTCCGATTTTTCAGATATATGGCAGCTATAAGTTATAGTCGGCTGATCCTTATGCAATTTACAACATCTTATTTTTATATTTTGCATAATTATGCAGAGCTTCTTACTTAAACAAAAAAAATTTATCGCTTCAGGACGACTATTTTGTCAGAAACAAAAACAAGAATAAATTCCTTGCAGTGAAATGCTTAAGGCACTCCATAAAAAAATGCATTCGGATTAGCAAAAATAAGGAGAGGGGCTGTCCATATATTACGTAATCACTTAGGGGGGGAGGGGGTGTCAAGGAAATGATTATGTTTGATTACATGGGGAGGGAGGGTCTTGGACAATGATTATGTAATCATTCATCATGTAGATGTAACCTTCGATAAAAAATCAAAGAAACCCCTTTACCGTGTGGCTGGACGGCGAAAGGGAGAATGCCTAGTAGTTCAGTCATTTGAAGGATGCGAAGACCTCAAATGGCTTGACGAAGACTATGTTGACGACGAAGACGAAGATGATACCTGCGGAGATAAACAGATTTTGACAAGCCAACTTCCAGTAATTAACAATATTAAAGATTGGCTGGAATCTCCTTTTGAAAATATAGATTAAAAGATCAAATTTGCATATTTTTTTGTGATTACGTAATCTTTGTGGGGGGAGGGAGGGTGTTCATTAAATGATTACTTTTGATTACTAGGGGAAGGAGGGGGTCAAAAATCGCAGAAAACGTGATTACGTAATATATGGACAGCCCCAGAATAGGGAAAACACGAAAAAAATTTTATTGTAATTTCCCTTTGCCTATGCTGGGAGTCACACACGTATATGAAATTTTATTTCCCATATGACAGAGCAATTCCAACAACAAAGGAGCACCGAGAGAAATGGGGCTGGGCACCCCCAAAGTATCTATACGAATTAGACATGGGTAATCATCGTTCCTTTTAGGGAATAAGTTCGTTCGTTCTTTTTTTTAGGACTGAACTAGGTAGTTCTTTTTGTTCTTTTCAAACAGTTTGGTCATTGAGGGTTTTCAATGCCATTAAAATAAAACGCAGAATTTAATTAATTTAAATCGTTATAATGTTTATTCCTGCATGCAGATGAAGCCGGATGATCAGACGATAGACCAGCTTATAGTTCATGACATGCAGGGACTCAAGTAAATACACAGAGAGGGCGGCCCGACAAGTCACCTCGAGCTAAAGCTCTCGAAAGTGGAGAGGGCGGCCCGACCTAGACATTGCCGAGCTAAAACTCTCTATAGAAAGCCCGTTGAGTCGAGCGGCCGAGAGAGAGTCGCCTTGCGATCAACTAAGCTTTTGTACAAACTTAAGCCTAATAAATAAACATTGCACTAAACATTACACTAAAAATTACAACATTAAATATTTAAGCATAAACATTAAACGCCGTGCTGTTGCCTGACCCGACAGAGACAAAAGATCTCTTTTAACGATAAAAGAACAAGAACAAAGACCAAAGAACAAAAAACAAGGAACAAAGACCAAGGAACAATGACCGATGAACAATGTTAACTAGTTCAGATCGGTTTTTGTGTGACCGGGTCTTTTTTGTTAGTTCGTTCAGGAACCACCCGACTCTAATACGAATATATAGGAAGTATATATATAGGAAGAGTTGGGATGTAAGAGGTGTTTTGTCGCTAGACGTAGCTATGTGTCAATTTAGTGTGTCTCATACAAAGTCTCATAAATTTAATGATGTCCATTCGAGAAGCTGTTCTGGTTAAGTGGTCTATTGCATTATTTTTTTTTTGGGTTCATAAGTTTGTAGTTTAGGGATGTGTGGTTTCAGGTTTAATCAAATTGGTCTTTCATATATTTGTTAATGTATTTAAGTATATCTGATGTTTTATTGTTTTTTTTTTAGTATTAGTGGAAGTTTAGTAGCTCTAGCAGCTTGGTCTGCAAGTTCGTTTTCGGTAATGTTACAGTGTCCTGGGACCCATATTAGAGAGAATTTGTTTTTATATGTGGAGATAATTTTTATATTATTATTTTATATAATTTTTATTTTATATGAGTCGGTGCATATAGCGAATTTTTCTTTCTGTTTTTCTGCGTATCTGCATGCGTAAACGATTTTCGCTATTTCGGCAGTGAATATAGAAGAATAAGGTGGGAGCATTTGTTGTGTTAAAATGGATTGTGTGGAGGTTACGCTATAGATAGAAATGTATAGAAATGTGTGTATAGACATGTGTGTTGTTTGAGGGTATGTTTTATTTCTTGAAAAGTTTGATAGTAGACTGACCCCACACAGTATTAGTTTATGTATTAGTGTATGTGTAAGTTTATGTATTAAAAGTAGGTACCCTTCAGTACCATACCTCAAGGATTTCTCAAGGAAACGTCGAGGTAATAGTATTGCCCCCCCAGGAATCCTCGGGGTATGTTTCATACAAACCATCAAGGAATTTCCATAGAAGAGTTCCTCGCATCGAGGAATTCGAACACCTCAAGGAATACTGCAGGATTCCTGCAGTTATTCGAAGAGGATTTCGAACTAAATACCCCAGGGAATCCGTGGTGTATACTCTCAGGAATCTTTGAGGAAATACCCCAGGGAATCCCTGGGGTATACTCTGAGGAATCTTTGATGAAATACCCCAAGGAATCCCTGGGGTATACTCTGAGGAATCTTTGAGGAAATACCCCAAGGAATCCCTGGGGTATACTCTGAGGAATCTTTGGGGAAATACCCCAAGGAATCCCTGGAGACTTCACTGAGGAATCTGTAAAGAATTTTACACACACACACACATTAGATATTGCTTACATTATTTGTAATTAAAATACATACCGATCAAAACTCCATAAAAATTTGGAAACGCCTTCAATCTCTTCTTCCCACTAACTCCGTCAATATTGTACTAGACGATCAGGTCCTCGACGAAAATATATTTCAAGGATTTGGTTAGGGGTCCGCGCTTCAATATATTGGTCACTGCGGTGGTCTGAAAAAATTAATAGGTATTAAACATTTTTTTATATTTAATTTATAAATATTATACTTACACATTCTTCCTTCATTCCGCGGCCTAAGGCGAATTCTAACGCTGCCAATGCCTCGTCGGTGGGAATTGGGAATTCCATAATGACAGCATTGCTGGTGGCCTTGCTAATAAATAAGTTCATTATATGCACTATTCACCAGAATTAACGCAACAAACAAACGCGTGTAATTCATATGCAACTTGAACATCAAATGCAAAGAGAAGGGGAGAGGCAAGACGAACCGAAAATTGACAACCAAAAATTCTGGCGCGTGTTAGGGTATAGTCGACCAAAGCAATGCCTTGTAATTAGAATCGCACAAGGCTAATGATCGAAAATGAACATATTGGCTTTGCCTAAAGCAAATTATTAATACATTTCAGTATACCATATGATTAGATAAGAAAAATTTATTAAATATAATCTTAAATATATAAAAATATTTCAACATATTTTAAAAAGGGTATTCTGACGTCGCTTCCATTCACTTGGTTTTCGGCACAGATTTTTTTTCTCTCCCTTCCCTCCATCTACATCTCTCTAATTGTCTCTCTGTCGCGTGCCTCTGCACCGAAAATATGACATAGAAGCTTCGAGAATCATCGTCGAAAACCGAAAACAGGTAGAAGTTTCGTTTCCCCTTTTGTTTCGGACTTGAGTAAACGAAGCCCATGCAATTTGTTTTTGTTTTTCGAACATGTCGCCAGGAAAAGTCGGGGAAGGAATTTTGGTACTGAAGGGTAATAATTTGTTTTTATTGGAGTGGTTGTAGGACCAAGTTAGTATAGTTTGTTTTATATTTGTTATGGAGACTGGGACTAGAAGTATTATTTTACAGTAGTCTATAGTTTCTTGTATTGTGGTCAGTCAGTTTTGGGCAAAGTTTTGCTTTCGTGAATTTTTTTGTAGTTTTTTCTCACAAAATCTTTTTTGCAGAAGATAAAATTTAAAATTTTTTTAATAAGGCCTGTTTGGTTTTACGTTATATTGGTTTGATGTTGGATTTGTAAAGTAGGTTATGGATTGGTGAGGAGGGAAAGGATCCGAATGATATTCTAATAGCTGAGTGGTAAATTGTTTTTATTTCATTTAGTTTCGAATGCTTTATATAGATCTATTGTTTTTTTTTAGTTTATTGGAAGCAATGGCAATAAGAATAACGGATAATGGAGATCCTTGTGTGCAATTCGATTTTCTAGTGGCAGGGGGTGTTGAGTATGTTTCGGATTTGAACTAGAGGTCTGCATGAATACAGTCAAAGCAGCATTTGGCACTCTCACTCAAAGTTCTGACTGACTGAGTGAGACATTGAGTAAAACGGATTTGGCAAATGTGGTGAAGGCATGAGTAAAAAATTTACTCTATCCGAACGGCGACGCAATAACCAAATGAGTTTTGTAACCGAGTACTCGGTTAGTTGTGCGTTGCATTTGTGACGTCAAATTTATTTTTTGTTTTTGTTTTTGTGTTGCTTTTCAATACAAGAAATAGAAAAATATAAAGGCATGGATTAATTATAATATATACATATATATGTCATTTATTTAATTTTGTATAACAGAATGCAAAAACATAATTTTTTTTATTGTATCTGCATTGTTAGCAATAATACATCGCTTTTCAGAAATTAAATTTCTAGCATCTGAAAAGGCTCTTTGCAGGTAGCTGCTTGCTACCTGCTTGCCGAGCTGCTTGCAGGTATACAAAAAAATGTGCAACTAGTTTTAGCTTCTGCTCTACCTTCCATGAATGACGAGAATGCCAAAATTTTATCCGAGTACTCGAAGCATTTACTCTGCATTCACTCATTCTATCCATTCCACATTGGTTTGAATTTCACTCATTTCACATACAACGAAAACAACCCTTACCAATCCGCAATTCACTTTGTTTAAATGGTTTGGCACGCTCAATTGCGACTTAAACTTATTGTACTCAAATAACCGAAAATGTTGAGTGCAATCATGCAGACCTCTAATTTGAACAGAGATATTTTTATTGGTCGAGAAATTGACTATGTCATTGTTTATTTTTTGTTCTAATATTCAGGTTACCAGTTCGTCTATTATCGTGTTAAAGCTTAACCTTTTACATGGTGGTGATGCAGATCTGCATCATACCGTTTAAATTCAATTGTTTATCAAACTGCGTTACAAAACTGTATAAAAACTTTTTTATGAAGTTCAGCAACTTTCGTTTTTTATATAAAAAGTGTTGATCACTCAGAATTCTGTCCAATTCTCAACATGTGATTACTTTTCCCGCCAATTTGGTGAATGTGGTAATCTGAATTGGTTGTGCAGTTTCTGATCCAAAATATAAAAAAAAAAACAAAAAAAAATGTATAGTTGATTCAATTAATGTTTAAAAACAGGTAAATATTATATTTAGTTGTATATTATTCAGTTTTTGTGTTTGTTGCAATATAATACAATTAAATCAATTATTTCGCTTAATTTAAAAAATACGCTTTTTTTTTGCTTTTTGTAAAAAAAATTAAGAAAAACCAACCTTAAAAAAAATAAAAAGAAGTGTATTTTTTATTTTGACTTATCTACCGAACAAAAAAAAAACAAAAAAAACGGAGTTATTGCCATGTAAAGGGTTAAGATTCCGATTTTGTCGAAAGCTTAAGCAAAATCGAGTGATATTAGGGATATATGGTTTTTTCTCGATAGGGTTGCGGTAGTCAGGTAGTCTAGCGATGCTAGAGAATCTGATACCGACTTTCCCTTCCTAAAGCCCATTTGACTACTATCGAGTAGCTGGCTGTTGTTAACTAGCCACCATAGTCTTTTGGAAATTATTTTATCCATGAATTTGGATAAGCAGTTATTTAAGGATATCGGTCGATAGGAGGTTCTTGTTGTTTTGTTTGAGTCTGGTTTTAAGATGGGTGTTGCATACATTAAATTGTTGTGGGATATATGAGTGCAGAATACTGTTGTGAAGTTTGAGAAGCCTTTGCAAGACTGGATCTGGTAAGTTTTTATCATTTGTTAACTGATGTGGTCCCGGCCTGGTGCTTTCCCTTTGAGTTGATTAATGGCGCTTCTCAGTTCAATCATTGAAATATCACATTCCAATTGTCAAGGATATTTCGTGAGTAAAACTATAGTTGAGGTTTTCTTTTTGGTATCTGAATGTGGGATGGAAGTTATTATTTAGAGATGCATTTGACCAATGTTCGCATAGTGCTTTTGAAATGTTGTTTTTGTTTGTATACATTTCATATGTGTTTGATGGATAAGAAAGGACGTAAATTGGAATGTGGGTTTTGAGGCGGCAGAATCGATTAATTTTTTCCATATTATGGGAAAAGGGGTATGAGGATCCATTTCTGAGGTGAAGTCGATTAAAGTTTTGCGTTTTTTTATTTTTATTTATAGTTGTGCATTAGCTTTTTTGTAATTGATTAAATTGGTTGTGTTAATATTTAATTTTTTTATTTTTGGTTTGCTTAGAATAGCTTGTACTTGTATATATAGCTTTAAGTTATGGTGAACTTGATTTTAGAATTTACTTTTACGGCTATTGAGTCAAAGCTATTCAATATTTATCGGAAAGAAAATTCAGTGTGGTTGTCGATGGAGAAAAGTCGTAAAAACGCCCAATCTCAGCTGGTGTACCCCAAGGCATTGTACTAGGTCCGAAGCTATACTCTCTGTACACATCAAATATGCCAGACTCCTGGGGCTGTACCAAAGTCGACGATGATAATATGCTGATCGCAACTTACGCCGACGACACTGCTGTTACGGTCAGAAGTCCAATCGCTCCAATCTCTTGGGCCCGCAAGAGTACGTGACACGTTTTGAAAAGTGTACTACAAAACAGTACATAGGCATCAACTGCAGAAAATGTGCTTGTGTAACATTCTTCACAAGGCCAAAAGAGTGCCCAGGCATCTCCAGGCTTGGCTCTGTACTTCGTCGCGAGGCCTCATGGCTTTTATTACCAAGAAATTAATTTTTCTTTGTCCAATAAAGTTCGAATCTATAAATCTATTCTCAGCCCAATATGGAAATATGCATTACAAGTCTACGGCATAGCGTCTATGTCAAACCTGAACAAAATACGAGTAGCGCGAAATAAGATTGTCTGATCGATTTGTAATGCCCCCTGGTTCTTGAGAACTAGAGATATAAAAATAGATATGAAAATACCAAAGATAGGCGATGTAATACGTACGCATGCAGAAAAGTTTCATGAACGCCTTGGCTCTCATTCTAACTCCCTAGCGAAGAGGCTAATATAGATACCTACAAAAAGAAGATTAAAAAGATGCCACCCACATGACCTTTCTTTAAGATACATATAACCGTTTGTAGTTTAAAAATTTTAAATTAAAATAATATATAATTAATGTATAATCATTTACACATACCTTCTTGGTTATTTCCCTGTGTTTGGTCATTAAGAGTTTTCAATTCCGGGAAATGAAAAGACGAATTTATATTTAATTGGAAACGTTACAAAAATGCTTATTTCTGCATGCAGATGAAGCAGATATGTAGATCCGCCTATGGTGCATGCAGAGACTCAATTAAAAGTACCGAGAGGGCGGCCCGACTGCGAAGCTAAAGCTCTCGATAATGGAGAGGGCGGCCCGACCTAGACACTGCGTGCTAAAACTCTCTGAAGAAAGCCCGTTGAAGGGTCGGCTTGCCCCTCTCTCGGCCGCTCGACTCAACGCGCTTTCTTCAGAGAGCAACAAAGCTATTTGTACATACTTAAGCTTAATAAATAAACATTTCACTAAACATTAAATTAATATACTTAAACATAAACATTAGACCGCTGTGTTGCTGCCTGACCCGACACCCTGTAATTTACAAACCTTACAAGAATTTACACCTTAAATAAAAAAAAAAAAAAATTTCAAGGCTATTGTTACCAATTTGGGCTTGTTGGGCCAATGAATTGTGGATTAAAAAAGCTTCTCCACCATAGGGGGTATTAGTGGTTAATTGTGATTAGGGGTTAATTGTTTGTGTTGTATGAATGAATTTTAGGGGACGATGCAAAAAGTTGCACTGCTACCACTTAATCGTATTCTTGAAAAAAAAAATTAAATGTATTATTTTAGCAAATTTTTTTTTTAATAAAAAATTTAATAAAAAAATTTTAACAAATAATATAATTTCTTTTATCATTAAACCAGAGGTCGGCACGGCCCTATCTCGGGGGCATAGGAAATTTCTCTGCCCGAGCTCTGCCACACACACACAATATAAATGTGTGAAACGTCATGCTCAAAGCCTATTTTCTGCTATTCGTTACTAACACTAATGCGGTAAAATCATATCAATGTATTGGGGTGCCGACCACTGCATTAAACCAATAATGAGTAACCCAATTTTCTGAAGGTAGCAAGCCTGAAAAGTTACAAAAATCAAAAAATTTATGCTGGGTTCCTAACGAAATCGGACGTACACATGCACATGTGTTACACGCATACATACAAAAAATAATCTAAGAACAGACGAACCTTCTTCAGAAAACATTCAACAAGAATAAGAGCGTAAGATAAACGTAAAATGGGCGTAACAAACATAGTAAGATGCTCTCTAAGCCCTGTCGGGAGATTAAATCGTTGTATGAAATGAGTAGTCTATATTTTGTATGATTAGTTGTTTCTAAAAACGCAAAGCACAAAAAATACGACCGTTTGCTATAAACGAAAGAGATAATTTAATTTGTATACCCTTGTCTCAGTTTTAAAGCTATCGACTTTAAACTTGTCATACACCCTTCTTTTCTTTGCACGTAGTGTATAAGGCGGAACAACCCGGATTGGTCGACTTTATCCTATAGCTGCCCTCCTAAAGCTAATTGTGATACTTTTATAAGGATCGGCCAACTATATAATCTATACAACGATATGCAATTATAATCATTAGAAATAAATACTTAATATATTTAAAGGCTGGCGAATGAAATTCCACATAAAATAACAGATCAGAATACTCCTATATAAATTATATGATTATCCAATACATTTTTTATAAAACTAAATTTGTTTTTTTTTTTTAGGTATTCCAGCTATGGCTGGTAGTGCTGTAATTGGAGGCGTTCTGTTGGCACTTATTGAAGGTGTCGGCATATTATTTACGAGAATATCTGCTGATCAATTTAAAAATCCCATGCCACCAACGGAGGATCCCTCTGCTCTTGGTGAACCAACTCCTAACTTTTCATTTGGAAAAAATGAAAAACAATTTCAATAATCATATTAATACTTTAACGAATGAGTTATCAAATGTTAACCACTTTATATTACATAAAAATATAAACGATGTAATTTTTAAACATGTGTTTAAAACGGAAGGGCGGAAAGTACTTCAGCTTTTTGATCCAATGGCACACCATCATTTTTAGTAAAATAATCTAAACAAACCGATTTAAATTCTATTTAAAAAAGAAAACAAAAATAATCCTTAAATCTTAAAAAAAATCGTTCATAGGCATCATTTAACTGGTATAATTTTATTTCATGTTAAGTCGCCTGTACTTTGCCGTATCCAGAAGTGTTTTTTCAATCGCTCTCGCTAGATTTTCTATATCTTCGATCTTTGAATTAAGGTTTTCACTTTTTCCGACAAGTTGAAATATAACGACCAATTCTCAAAATATATGGTAATTAACATAATAAGTTTATTTATCTATACAGGGTGACAATAAATAACCCGGACAAACATTTTTAATCATAACTTTTTAAGGAACTGCATTTAAGAAAAAATGCAACTACACAACTTTTAAATAGGTATTGTGTTAACATATATTAAGCTGGTTTCGAAGTGTTTTCCTTAGGCTGCGATGCAGAGCCCTAAACGTTTCTGGAAATTTAGCGCAATGGGCCGCAGGTCTTCTTACGATAATCGATCCCATTCTCGGAGCAATGATTGATTGAAACTTATGTGGCGTTTAGCTCCAAAATATACCACACACTGTAGTGCATCGGAGAAAGATCTGCCGAGTAAGGTGGCCATTCACTGGATGTGATACAGTCCGGAAAATTGGCTTTGCACCAATTCTGAGTCAATTTGGCTCTATGGGTTGGCGCTGAATCCTGTTGAAAAGTCCACTCCATATCACCGAAGTGCTGCTGGGTCCAAGGATGCACAACAGTTTCCAAAATGTCCCGGCGGTACACTTCCTGATTGATTTTGACCCCTCGATCGATGAAAACAAGGGGTCCCCAAACCATTAAAGACTGCTCACATTGACGGCGCTCGAAAAAAAATGTATCAAAAAATGTATGTAAAAAATCACAAAAATTTAAATATATTTGTTTCAGAAAAGTACAAGCTATCGATAAATGAATTTATTTACGGGCTGCATCATAACACATTTATATGGTAATAGATTGCATCAAAGTTTGTCCGGGTTATTTATTGTCACCCTGTATTACTAAGTTATAGAGTGCCTATCTAAAATCTTTTCACTTTACTGCAGTGGTCTCCAATCCGTCAACAATGAGTCAATGCGCAGCCAAAAAATGTGAATTTGGCGGATCCATCATGGGTGACTTATGCCTGTCTTGCTGGCTTTGCAACAACTGCTTAAGAGGGGGCATCTGAGTAACATGTTTAAAAAATCGAAAATTTTCTTTTTCTCTTAAAAAATTCTTTAGGGTCGTAAAAATAACATATCAAAAGATAGAGTCCGGAAAAAGTATCTAAGTGTCAAAATTTTCCATGCTGCGGCGATGCCTCACAGTTCTATCCCACAGTACTTAAAACTTTAAACGCGTTTTTCTCTAAACCACTTTTTTTTGAGACTGCCGGAAACATAGCTCAAACAAATCTTAACCGATTTTGAATTCTGACAGTGTATTTAAAATACCATTATCTATCGACACACGTAGGATTTTTTCTTATAATGCTTACTTTTTTTTTTATTAACAATTTTGTGATGTTTTTTTCGTGACTCACCATTTTGCAAAAAATTAATATATCGCAAAAATTCTACGCAATACGTGTGTCGATAGCTGTTGATGTATAGAAACTAACGAAACTTGATTTTTTGTTCTACATCAAAAATCAAGGACGTTAGCTGTCCGGCCATGGACCCCCTACAAAGAAAGGGCCTACGAAGAAATGCTGCAGAGCCGCCATTTTGTTTTCTATTTATTTGAATCATAACTTTTTAAGGAACTGCATTTAAGAAAAAATGCAAATACACAACTTTTAAATAGGTATTGTGTTAACATATATTAAGCTGGTTTCGAAGTGGTTTCCTTAGGCTGCGATGCAGAGCCCTAAACGTTTCTGGAAATTTAGCGCAATGGGCCGCAGGTCTTCTTACGATAATCGATCCCATTCTCGGAGCAATGATTGATTGAAACTTATGTGGCGTTTAGCTCCAAAGTATACCACACACTGTAGTGCATCGGAGAAAGATCTGCCGAGTAAGGTGGCCATTCACTGGATGTGATACAGTCCGGAAAATTGGCTTTGCACCAATTCTGAGTCAATTTGGCTCTATGGGTTGGCGCTGAATCTTGTTGAAAAGTCCACTCCATATCACCGAAGTGCTGCTGGGTCCAAGGATGCACAACAGTTTCCAAAATGTCCCGGCGGTACACTTCCTGATTGATTTTGACCCCTCGATCGATGAAAACAAGGGGTGTTTTACCGGTGGCGCATATTGCTCCCCAAACCATTAAAGACTGCTCACATTGACGGCGCTCGATTATTGCAGAGGTACCTGGAGCTTCAGCCGACCTGCTTCTATCCTTTTGGTGATTGTGCTCCTGTTGGATGGTGAATATCTTCTCGTCCGTGAGGAGAATACGCTCCCATTTTTGACCTGCGGCCTGACGCTTTAGCTGACGGCATCTTTGGAAGAAGATACACTTTTTGGAGCGTGTAGGGCTTGAGGTTAAGTTCATTTTTTGCAATCAACCGAACACTTTTTCGATTCACTCCGATTTCGCGGGCTATTTTTCTGACCGAGACTCTGCAATTCCGAGTGATCCAATTTTTCACGAGCTGGCGAATTTTGGAAGTGTTAGCGGTACATGGTCTGCCTCGTCCGGAACGGTCACCTTCATGGCCTTCACCTTCACCTCATTAAATCGCCGGATAGCGTCAGAGACCGTTTGTTTTGGTATGCCAAGCAAACGAACAATGTCGCATTGGCGATTTCCTTGTTGAAACAGTTAGACATCCCGAAACAACGATTGTTAGACATCCCGAAATATCAAATGGATGGGAATCACAAAAATGTAAATATATTTGTTTCAGAAAAGTACAAGCTATCGATAAATGCATTTATTTACGGGCTGCATCATAACACATTTATATGGTAATAGATTGCATCAAAGTTTGTCCGGGTTATTTATTGTCATCCTGTATTACTAAGTTATAGAGTGCCTATCTAAAATCTTTTCACTTTACTGCAGTGGTCTCCATCCGTCAACAATGAGTCAATGCGCAGCCAAAAAATGTGAATTTGGCGGATCCATCATGGGTGACTTATGCCTGTCTTGCTGGCTTTGCAACAACTGCTTAAGAGGGGGCATCTGAGTAACATGTTTAAAAAATCGACAATTTTCTTTTTCTCTTAAAAAATTCTTTAGGGTCGTAAACATAACATATCAAAAGATAGAGTCCGGAAAAAGTATCTAAGTGTCAAAATTTTCCATGCTGCGGCGATGCCTCACAGTTCTATCCCACAGTACTTAAAACTTTAAACGCGTTTTTCTCTAAACCACTTTTTTTTGAGACTGCCGGAAACATAGCTCAAACAAATCTTAACCGATTTTGAATTCTGACAGTATATTTAAAATACCATTATCTATCGACACACGTAGGATTTTTTCTTATATTGCTTACTTTTTTTTTTATTAACAATTTTGTGATGTTTTTTTCGTGACTCACCATTTTGCAAAAAATTAATATATCGCAAAAATTCTACGCAATACGTGTGTCGATAGCTGTTGATGTATAGAAACTAACGAAACTTGATTTTTTGTTCTACATCAAAAATCAAGGACGTTAGCTGTCCGGCCATGGACCCTCTACAAAGAAAGGGCCTACGAAGAAATGCTGCAGAGCCGCCATTTTGTTCTCTATTTATTTGAATCATAACTTTTTAAGGAACTGCATTTAAGAAAAAATGCAAATACACAACTTTTAAATAGGTATTGTGTTAACATATATTAAGCTGGTTTCGAAGTGGTTTCCTTAGGCTGCGATGCAGAGCCCTAAACGTTTCTGGAAATTTAGCGCAATGGGCCGCAGGTCTTCTTACGATAATCGATCCCATTCTCGGAGCAATGATTGATTGAAACTTATGTGGCGTTTAGCTCCAAAGTATACCACACACTGTAGTGCATCGGAGAAAGATCTGCCGAGTAAGGTGGCCATTCACTGGATGTGATACAGTCCGGAAAATTGGCTTTGCACCAATTCTGAGTCAATTTGGCTCTATGGGTTGGCGCTGAATCCTGTTGAAAAGTCCACTCCATATCACCGAAGTGCTGCTGGGTCCAAGGATGCACAACAGTTTCCAAAATGTCCCGGCGGTACACTTCCTGATTGATTTTGACCCCTCGATCGATGAAAACAAGGGGTGTTTTACCGGTGGCGCATATTGCTCCCCAAACCATTAAAGACTGCTCACATTGACGGCGCTCGATTATTGCAGAGGTACCTGGAGCTTCAGCCGACCAGCTTCTATCCTTTTGGTGATTGTGCTCCTGTTGGATGGTGAATATCTTCTCGTCCGTGAGGAGAATACGCTCCCATTTTTGACCTGCGGCCTGACGCTTTAGCTGACGGCATCTTTGGAAGAAGATACACTTTTTGGAGCGTGTAGGGCTTGAGGTTAAGTTCATTTTTTGCAATCAACCGAACACTTTTTCGATTCACTCCGATTTCGCGGGCTATTTTTCTGACCGAGACTCTGCAATTCCGAGTGATCCAATTTTTCACGATCTGGCGAATTTTGGAAGTACATGGTACTTCCATTTTTTGGTACATGGTCTTACTCGTCCGGAACGGTCACCTTCATGGCCTTCACCTTCACCTCATTAAATCGCCGGATAGCGTCAGAGACCGTTTGTTTTGGTATGCCAAGCAAACGAACAATGTCGCATTGGCGATTTCCTTGTTGAAACAGTTAGACATCCCGAAACAACGATTGTTAGACATCCTGAAATATCAAATGGATGGGAATCACAAAAATGTAAATATATTTGTTTCAGAAAAGTACAAGTCAATGGTAATCGAACTACCGAACTGAGCGGACGTGCTTTGTCCGAGCTCCGGGAAAACTTCACTTCGCTTATATTTTCGCTAATA